ACTATTTAACACTCTATTTGCATACATGCTCAAATGTGATCTATCGCACTAAAAATCTCTTTAACATAAAGAAAAAGAGAAGTCTAGATAATTTTGTTTGACTATCTAGGAAGACAAATATTGATAAAAGTAAAATAAAATTATTATATATAGTAAAAAGCAAGGCTATATACTATATATAATATTTAAAACAAAGTTAAGAAAACTTGCTAACAAGATAAAAACCTAACAAGCTAACAGGAAAAAGAACAAAACAAAAACAAAAAAATAAAAGGCATCTCATAAGAATCATAATCTAAATATACAATTCTGTTCAAGACTGAGTAGTTAAAAATTATAAATACAAAATATATTTATTTGCAAATATCTTTAATATTTGATAATGATTTGGTTATTTCATTGAATACACGATAGCTTATTATTATTGCAATAAATTTATTGTTCATATTGCAAAATAAAATCATGTATTTGTTGTGCTAACTTTAAAATATTTATGTATTTGTTGTTATTACACTATAAGCCTATTTCCAAATTCATTAATGATATGTATGCTGATCTTTAATAGAAGGTGAGCTCTATTTTTCACTTTTTGTACAAAAATACTCTAAGTTTGTCAAATAGTCAAAACTGTTCCCAAGACTGACCAAAAGTTTAGAAGTAAGAGTAAGGATATCTAAAATAATTTTGAAAAGTATAAGGAGTAGTATTATACTCGACTCTATTCAAGTATTTTCTTTAACTTTTATATTTACAGGGCTTATTTCTAACAATAAAGTATATAAAATATATACAAAATATATAATATATATAATATATAAAAGTGCTAATAATAGTTGTTGAACTAACTCTATGAAGATAAAAAAAAAAGAAAAAAAATAAGATCTCAAAAGCTTTAAGCAAGTATTAAATAGCAGTTTGAGAGAAAAAAGCTAAATATAAATAGAATAGCTAAAAAGAATTCTTAGAAAAGAAGAGGCACTCATAATTAAAGATATAGTTGGATTAGAAAAGATAATAATTGAGTTTTAGTACATGTTCTAGCATATTTGAATAGAACTATTTTATAAAGAAGTCTAGAAGAGCTAATACAAAGATATAGAAGCTTAAGAAAAAAAGAAAAACATATCTTGAAAAGAAAAATACTTGTGAAAAGAAAGAGCAAAGAGAAAGAAAATAAAGAAAGGAAAGAACTGTAAGAAAGATATTTCAACAAAGAGCAATAAAAGTAAAGTAGATAAAGATACAGATATAAGTAGTATTAGCCTTAAAATAGTATTAAGTAGTATAGAAAGAGAAGTTAAGAAAGGTAAAAAAATTAATTAGTTATAAAAGCAATTATAATAGGCTATAATATCTTACAAGAAATAATAACATCCTGCTAACATAGCAACAAGTCAAAACTATTAGAGGGTATAAGGGAAGAGGATGAAAACCAAATTGATATAAAGATTTGGAGACAAAAGTCCTTGAAAATAGTAGCTCAAGAGTTCTGAAAGCAGAGTTCCAAACAGATCTGCTAAATGGGTTAGCTATAAAGTGCAAAGAACTAAGTATATTCACTGATAAAAGAAAAAAAGAATGGGTAATGTTTGAGAAAGAAGAAAAACTAGAATGTGGAAGAGTTACAAGAAAAAAATCTAAGTACTTCATAGTAGAGTACTGAAAAATAGAAGAAAATGATAACTCGGGTACCTCTACATTAATAACCATGTGCAGAAGTTGCAAATTAGGAAAACAAAATGATATGAGCTATCTGATCAGACTTAAGTATGTAGATTAGCACCAGGTACTTAACAAGATTCATAGAGTCAATGAGCTTGCTTCTACTATAATACCAACTACATCTTATAAAGATAATAGAGAAGTAGTTAACGCTGAATTAATAGATAACAGCAAAGATATAGAAGTTAGTATTATGGAAATAGAAGAAGCAGTTATACATAGAGTAATTAGAGATAATAACTTACAAAATGAGCTTAGTAGAATAGTGAGATTACTTAAAAGAGAGGAGAAGCTAGATATATATACAGATAGCTCACTAGTAGTAGAAAATGTAGAAAGGAAAGAAGTTAAAAAGATGAGTATCAGTTGGGTAGTAGCAGATAAGAATAGGATAGAATCTAGTATTAGCTTTAGTGGTAGTATAGTAGAATAGTCTTCATCTACATGTGCAGAACTAGGTGCGATCTGAACAGCACTTTTAGTAGTACCCTTTAGAGCAACTGTTAGGATATTCTCAGATAGCAAGACAGCAATTGAAAGAATCCAGAACTTTAAAGATCTTTCAAAGCTAAGAAGCAATTTTAAAGCAAAAAATCATAGTATAATCAATCAAATTGCAGATTGCTGTAAAATGAAGAAAATTAAGCTAGATCTGATTAAAGTAAAAGGTTACAGTTCAAATATTTGGAACGATAGAGCAGATTAGTTAGCTAAAGAAGGCTTCTCTTCAGACTTAATCCTTGAAGCCCAAGAAGTAACAACAAGTAAAATTAGGTTTTTCCTATTATAGAAAAACAAAATTATAGATAATGTACTTAGATCTTTTGTTAATATAACCACAGCAATATTTTACGAATATATATGAGCAGATTTAAACAGTATCAAATTAGTATTAAACCAGAGGCTATCAGACCAATGCAATAATAAGCTAAACTGGAAAAATACATGAAGCGTTTTGAAAAACTTACAAGGAAAAAAATGTGTAAGCATAAAGAAGAGCAAAATGCTAATATTTAGGCTAAAATGTCTAAATAAGCTTTTGCTGACAAAAGATGTATGCTACCAAAGAGACCCCATGCTATACAAAACCAAGACCTGCATTGCATGTTATGCAAAAGTAGAATCCTTCGAGCACTTAGCAGATTGTGTAGTCTACCAACTAATATGGAAGCATATTGAAGCATTTATTATTGATGAGCTAAGCTCCTTACTTATCTCCAAATTAGAAGTCGAAGTCAAAGCTTAGAAATTAAGCAAAATCTTCCTAGGTTTAAGTACAGAAATTAAGCTAAAAAAAAAAAAACTTTATATATAAGGGCTAACATGTTCAAGCCTGTTAGCAGAAGCTAAAGCTCTTTTAGGATCAGTATCTAAAGCTAACAAAGCTATCTGCTAGTTTACAGAAATTTTCTGGTCAAACTTTTTTGAAAGACTTTGGAAATTTCATTGCGAAGTTTTCCTAGAATGGGAAAAAAGAAACAATATAGATTCTAAAAAAAAAGAGAAAGAAACAAAAATATAAAGACCAATCCGAGCAGAAAAAATATCAAGCAGGAAAGAAAAACCAAAATCCTGCGGAAAAGGAGGCTATTGAATCACCTAACACTAAAGAGAAAAGGATTCAGAAAGAAGCCAAAAATAGAATTGATAAGTAGATTACAGAGGGTATGAAAGAAAGTTAGTTAAGTTTCAAAAATAATTAAATAGGTATTCTTGATATAGGTGCATAGTAGCCTTCTGGAGATCCTTAGAATATGATCCTGCTTAGGTATTCTATTCTTCAGGGAAGAAAATTTACTATTGCGGCAGATCGCATCTGGGCACTTTAGATAGCTAAGTGAGTCCTAAATTATATAAAGAGAGTATTTTTATAGTTAAATTAGTTTAGCTTATATTTTTGTTATAACATTTTATATGTTTTCTCTTAATAAATGATGGGCAAGATCACCTAAGTAAAAAAAAAAATAGGCTATGATATCTATTCTATAAGAACTTATTTTTGTTTTAATGCAATAACAACAATCTAGGATAAAGGTCACTATGGCAGATTGTATATAGATATTGTTAAGATAACTAGATGAGTTATAACTTAAAAAATTAAATATTAGAAGGTTTAATCAAATAATGTTGTTTTTATTATAAAACAAATCTAAAAAAAGTTATAACATGACTACTGAATGTTTAAAACAAATATTGCAAATATTCAAATAATTTCAAAATATAATATTTCAAATAATTTAAAATATCTTAAAGTTGTTTAAATCATTATTAGTAAACTCTTTATAATAACTAATAATATATATATTATTCCAACTCTCATAAAACTTAAATAACTTTTTGTTTAAAGATTTACTAATATTTATATTATTCAAAACAAATATTATAACTTTTATAAGATTATAATATTCACTAGCAGTAAGTCTAAAAAGTGATTAAATTCTATTTTTAAAAATTTTAAGTTCTGGATATCTTAGAATATTAGCTAATCTTTTATCAATTGTATCTGTAGTACAAATAATTTACAAAAAGAATTACTAATTTACATCCTATTACTACTGTAATTTGTATTCTCTTGCAAGAAGTTTATAATTTATATAATAATAAGAACTTTGTCCAAAGTTGGTTTGAGTTGGTAAAAAATTTATTGGAAGATACTACTTTTTGCAGTAAGAGATACCATATCGATATGCGAATTTTAGTAGATATTATAAAAACCCTAAATTTTAGTATCATCCGATTACATAATTATTCACGACAAAAAATAATTTACATTCTACTCAAGAATTTTATATATCTTATTAGTTATATGATCCAGAAAATAAACTGGCTTTATCGTTATATTTTTAAAAAATAAAAATAAACGAATAATAATTTTAGAAAATTTCTTTTTTTTTAAGACATCGTTTAATAGTTTCCATTTAAAAAAATGTTTATCTATATTTAGTAACATTTTAAAGCCTATTTTTTTTACTTTAAAGACCTATATAGTGTTTATCAGTTATGTGTAACACCCCAAACGTTTACTCTGCATGTTGAACACGTGGTCCTATGCTAGCAACTTAAAAAGTCTGTCAATATCAATGTATTGTTTATGACAATACGACAATTGACAAACCTACTAAACTTTGACCTCAACAAAAACGACAAAGACCGTCAGAGCAGTTTGGTTGACTATTATTTTCTCTTGCAAGTCAGTTTAACCTTTAACTGTTGTTATTTTATACTTATACAAAAAAAAATACGATGAACCTTATTATGCTTAAATTCAGACTACCAGGATGGAACCTACTCCAACTTCTACTCAGGAAGAAACACTTCCTGATGACAGTCCTCCAAGTTCTCACGCACCTCCAGGCTACTATGTCTCAAATCAATTTCCTCCTTTGACTCCAACTTCTGTTTATCGTTGTCCTACTTTAACTGCTTTCCTTCACCAACTAAATCTCTCACAATATCATAGCTTGTTTGTTGAAGCCGGGGTTGGAGAAAACGACCTTGAGCAGTTTATAGGATTTGATGAATCTGAACTAAAAGAAGTATTATCAGCAATATCGATGAAACCTTTCCATTCTGCTGCTTTCAAAAGGGGAATCAGGGGGCTCAGACAAACCCTTTCTGCAAGTCCGTCTTCTTTGAATAATTCATCTAAATCTTTCACAACTTTTTCGACGGCTTCTCTAGTAATTGTCATTTTATCTGACTAATGTTTTTTTTTGTTCCAATATTTTTATTATCAAAACTTTTTATAAATATTTCAAAAATTTTGACATTTCTATTTCTGTGATGCATTTTATTTAGGAGCTTCCGTCAGACAATCCTAATTCATCTCGCAATAAGTTAGGTAAAATAAGTGAAACAACGGAAATATCATCATATAATGTAAAAGATAAGGCAATGGATGCATCGCCGATAAAGATCTCACCAAATAGAACAACAAATGCTGAAGAATCTGCTGAATCACCAATACATGAGATTCAAGAGTATTCCGCGACTCCAATG